GTTTAAGTTTTACATTAATAGTTTAAAAAAATCACTGTATGCTACACCACTTTTGTGTGGCACAAAGGATGGAAACAAACATGTTGTAATCTAGTATATATAGAATATATGCACTTTCTAAAAAAATTAACTTCTATTACTCTTCAATGCTAAAAATGTATACTTCAGCAATTCTTCTATGCTGAGGATACATGCTATACTCCGAGGTTACATTGTTACAAAGCAGTTACCATTTTGTAACATTGTTGACCCCAGTATGAATTAAAACTGCTACTACAAAAAGTAACTTGATTTATTTGAGTTATACCAATTCCTTTTATTCCTTAAGATGAAACAATGTAACAACCACAGTCTCTATGGTAGGAAAATGAGAGGAATGTGTTCTTTAAAAATAATATAGGAGGATAATTTATTGTATAGTACTAGCTACTTATAGCTACATGACATCACTACAAAGGAATGTTAGATTATCTGACTTGTCTGTACATTAAAATAAATCCATACTGTGTGATAAATATGACAATTCTGAGAGATATATCTGAATATATGGGGATAAATTACCAAACTGATGTAACCATTTTTATTCTTGCCCAATATATATGAAGATAGACATGGAGAATTTATCTTAAAATGTTAATGAAAAGTAGTTTAATTTTTAATACTAAATGTCATCCAGCTAAGGAAAAAACACGGTGCAGGTAAAATTAGAAGTTTACCTCACTGAAAAAGACTGCTGCAGGATTGGGTTAGAGTGACACTTTAAGAAGATTCTGTTTATGGCAGTTCTCAAACAATTGGTATGGCAAGGTACACCAGACTCTATTCTAACAAGTCCAGTACACATGAACTTTTTTATAGAGAACTGGATTTTAATGGCATTCATTAGGCAGAAACATTTGTGACTGAGTAAAATACAAACCCTGTACCACAGAAAATGCCACAGATACTTTTCTTTCTCACATTCATATAATATTAAAAGTGCATCCAAAGACATTAACAGTGTTATTATGAATTGTCATTAAATATTAAATCAGATTGTATGATCCTACATGACACAGTCTTTCCAAGGCCTCTGCAACACTACAACCCATAGCAGGTAAGAATTCACAAGACTGAGTTTTAAGAGATGTATTAAAGTATTTCATTTTAATCTGTCTTTGGTTTAAATGTTAGTAAGGCTAATATGATTTTAAATATTATAAAGTAATAAATGAAACCAAAGATACATGAAAAGATCTATTTACTGAATAAACGCAAGGTCCTAACTCTTGCAACTGAATACCTGTAGGCAAGTGCTCGTGCATAATTCTTGTATCTCAGAGGGCTTGCCTACAGGCCTAAGTGGTCCCTATAAAGCTAATCACAATTTACAGGATCCTAGAAATACACTGTATTATATGCACATGAAAACCCAATTCCTCAACTACATTTTCATCTAGAAATCAGAGTAAAGTGTTAAACAAAAATTTTCCCTCGTGCAACCTAATACCTGCCAAACGTTGCAAATCTCCAAAGAGAGTACATAGAGAGAAAGAAGAAAAAAAGAAGAAAAAAAGGGCACTAAATGAAACATTGGGCAAAGGGAAAAATATACAGAGAATAAAATATGGCTTAAGATACAAAATTAAAGTAAGCTACTGCACTGTAAGAAAGAATTAAACCGTAAAAAGATACAGCAAAGAGATGAGAAAAACTCCTGAGGAAAGTCATATGCAAACCACTAGGCACAGCATGTAAAATTAAGCAGTGTAAAAAGATTTAAATCAACAAGCTCAGTTTTGATGAAAATATCTCAAGAGAAAAGGCAAAAGTTTGTGAGCTAGAACATATAACCAAAATTCTCAAATATGCATCAACCCAAATTTTTCTGAGAGGAATCATAATACACAAAAATTCAAACTGTGTGTGTAATAACAGAAAAATTAACCATAACAATACTTTACAACTATACAACCCCCTAGATCAGTCTGTTATTATCTACACGAACGTCCATGTTGTGATAAAATTTCTGTTCAGATATCTTGGATTTGTCTTTGTAGGAGGGATCTATTTTATTAAAGAGGTTGTGGAACTTCAATCATTTCAGCCTTCTCTCTGAATAATAATATTCCATAATTTGCTTTCTGTGATGATTTTTCCCATTATATCATCCAGTTTTCCCAGAAATATTAATATATATGAATGTTGTTTAAACATGACAACATTCAAAAAGCAAAAAATTCATCTAAAAATACCACAATATACATTTAGTTGTTTTTCTTATAGCAAGTCTTACCAACAGCTGTTGAAGGTTTTGGTATATTTATATTTTATCAATGTTACAATAACTTCTTCGAGAGTGAAAGTCAGCTGTATGAATGTGTGTATCATCAAGCTATGTAATATAACAAGAAACAATGTAAGTTTACATACATACGAAATTGCTTCTACAACACAGAGGAATATAGCTTTTTTTCCACTGTGGAACATCCAAAGAATGATATCAATGCCTTCTTGGAGAAACCTGCCTCCTCAACCTAGCCATGATCCTAGTGTCACTCTGAATTTGCTTTTAAAAGAGAATATAAACCAGAGAAAAATTAATCTATAAAGACAAGTTTAATCACAAACTGATGAAGGACAGAAAAACAAAGCTGTGTACCATTTGAAGATCTGATGAGCAGAAAACCAGCATACTTTGCTTAGCCAGAAATATCACAGGCAAAGCGAACAGCCTTCACCTGACAGAATGGGAACCCTGGAATTCTTTACATCTCACTAACAGGGGAAAACATTTCCGCTAAAATCTTTTTTTTTTTTTTTTAGTTTAACGTTTTAGAAAATAAGCACCAAATGAGATTAAACAAGGGTATAATTAAGACACTATTCAAGAACTGTAACACATGAATTAGGAGTAATGAACTATTTTTAAAACTTGAAAAAGGATGTAGCGCACTGTATTTGGTTCTCTCTTGAACTAAGAAGTTCCAGATAAAGGACAATTGCACTCAAATATTAAGATACAAAGTATTTTAGAAGGATCCTATTACCACGAGGAACCATCAGAATACTAGATGTATTATCTTGCAAATATAAACACCAACAACAAAGACTGCCCATAATTTTCCAATTATATCAACATTTTTTTAAAGGGAAAAAAAAAAAAATCCAGCTAACACTATCTTCAGTAGCATCCTTCCCTTCTGAAAGCAGAATTTTTTCTTCCTTGATCTAGAAGAGAATTCTAGCTTTGACTTTTGTTGCCACAAAAAAAATTCAGTAAAACATGAAATAGGATAAATATAACAGCAACTTCTTTTGGAATTCTGCATTTGGGTAGCAACTTAGCAGCAAGCTACCAAGTCTTACTGCAATTTCAAAAGCTCCTCAACAAGCTCTCGCAAACAGGCTGCCAGTCTGAACAACCTGTCGTATCATCAGAGTAACTGTGTTTGTTCCAAAGCTAACAGGCATTCTAGGGCACGTTGCTGAAATTTTTCAAGAACAATTTAGATCTGTCTTTAATTGTAAGAATAGAAAAAAATTACTTTTATTTTTACAGCACTTACATCCAGTTGCAGATTTTGATTTTTAAAAACCGCATTTCAGACATGTTTAATTTGAAAGAAGTAAAAATTGAGGTTACATCCAAAAATCTGGTATGATCCTAGTAATTTTTTCCTAATAAATAAAGGAATAAATAATATATCTTTGTACTAACATAACTAGTAAAGTCATCCTACATACAGATACAAAAACATCCAAAAAAAGGTCCAAAGACAACAGTCCATTATTTCCGATTTATAATTTAGGAAACAGCAATCTTCTCTCTATCTACCAGGAAAAGTGTCCATACATTTTGGGCTGATGGCTGAAACTGCAGATATTTGATCATTATTTTGAAATCATAGTTTGTCCAAACCATGGTCTAATTCACAATTTTCTCTGATTAAAATAATTTATTCATATCCAATATTGAACAAAATTTTGTTATAAAAATAATGCAACTCTAGGACCAAAAAAAAAAAACCAAACCCAGTCAAACTTCTGCTGGATTAAACAATCATCCGTGCCTTGTGCCCACTATTAATAACAATTGTGCTGTGATTATTTACAGAAATGACTAGAAGTGGTTTGACTCCTCATATGAAGCAAACTGAAAATCATCTGCATTTGGCCTTTCAGTACTCACAACAAAATGTAGAACATCTATTAAAGAGCAAAACACAGAAGTCAAAACAGGGTTACAAAGACTGTCCAGTAAGAACTGTGGCCCAATCAATGAAGACAAATTTTTTCCACGTAAACTTTCTTCACTGAGAAAATTGCCCTTTTGTTTCAAGAATCTCTTTCACAGTTAGCACAAATGTGTGATAACCACAGTTCTACTTACAGACGTTCAGGTGATAAATATAGAAACAAGTTAGTGCTTCAGTGCTCTTTGCTAATATTAGAACATGTATATATTTACATTTAATGAATATAAATGGCAATGTAGACATAATTTACTTTGGAGAAAGTTCTCAAATCACTGCATTTGATCAATTTATCTTCCTTAACACAATAATGTTAAATATTTCCCATGACACTCTAAAATAGGTATCTAACCTTAAATTCTATGTACAACAGAATGATCATTTCATAAGCTGTATGTGCTGTGCCTACTGGATATGCTGATAAGTAACGGAACTCTAATTAAGGGTTATAATTCCTTTGGATTTGTTTCCAGCTAGTTTTTTTAGAGAAAAGAGATAACAGATGTGTTTTAAAAAAAACCCAACAATTTCTGGCTAAAGAATTCATACTGCTAGAAATGTATAAACCACATTGCTGTACCATACTGCATATTAATTAGAGTTTAATTTTGCTTGGGGTAGAAACAAGGAAGAAAAATGAAGACTAAAGAGTATGAAAATTATAAAGCACTTAAATTTTTATGAAAGTACTTTAAATACGTATTAATTTATATTTTTTTGGTAAGAAACAAAAGCAGAATTCATGGTTACCATAGTTACACATACTCTTTGTTGTGTTTCAATGCCACATGATCTGATTCAAAGTAATATACATCAGGCTCTTCCTCATCATCCTCTGCAGTGTGGATGTTGGCACTTTCTTTGGCAGATGGTACATATCCAGCAACAAGCCTAGCCTCAGAAAGTGGCTTTCTTAGTCCATCACTCCCACGATCTCCTGTATTACAATTTCTCTCTTTTTCATCCTGTTTAATTTCTTCAGACTTTTTGGGAGATCCATTGATATTATTAATACCTACAGGTACATTCTTTTCAACGGGACTAAGATTATTTTCCTCAACCTGTCCGTTTTCTCTACAAGGAGAGTTATTTTTAGTAGGGCTACTTCTGGCAGGGGCAGCCCTTCGTGGTGAAGTTCTCAATGTATATCTGTGTTCTTGAAGTTCCGACATAGATGTCATTTGAGTTGAAACACAGTCCAGCACTGATGAATGTGGTTCAGGTTCACCTGAGATTGATGCACTGTCATGATGAGCATTCAGGCTGCTACTGGTGTTTTCAGCACACTGTTCCTTAGAGGCACTACTATCTCCTACAACGTCTACCTCCTCCTCTGAATCCCTTAACAAAGATGACTGGATTTCAGAAAAGGACCCTGTAGCTGGCTCATCTGCCTGATTAGCATGCTCCTCAGGCAAGCAGTCATTTATTATTTTGTGGTCCTCTAACTTTACCTGTTCTTGAGAGTTTGTGCAAGGCACATAATGGTCTACAACACTGTCCTCCTTGCTGCTATTAAGCAACAATGAAGAATGGGCAAATGAGTTTCCGTTTTCTGCTACTGTTTTGTCCTTGGGCATACAGGAACCAGCACTGTTTTGCTTAGTGTTCCCATCAAGCTGACAGTCATCACAGTTAAGAGAATTTGAGTCTCTCTCACCAACTCCATTGACAGTCTGATAGCCTGCAATTTCATCAACTATTGCAGAATTATTAAATCCTTCTGCACAAACATTCACCTTTTTAACTTCCCTTTTGTCACAATCATCCAATATAAGACATCGACAAGCTCGCTTAGTCCCTGTGGAGACTGCATCATTGTCCGACACTAAGCTTTTATGCTCCAATGATTCCTTCTCTGTTTTAGTAGGCAAGTCTTCTTCTGAACTGTTCGGTGCCTCTGAACGTAGACAGCGCTTAATTCTTTTCAAAACTGGTGAGACAGGTTCTGCTTGTTTTTTTTCACAATTTTCCACAGTTTGTTTATCAACATTATCTTTTTCTGAAGTAGACAGCCCTCTCTTTCTAGGGCTCACCCATGATTCCCGAGCACTCTGCTGTTTCAAATCAGTAGTTCTTCCACCGTTACTTCCCTTCTGAGTTTGCACAGACTCTGGCCTCTTCTTTGGTGACCTTGATCGTATCTGAGGATGGGGTGAAACTTCCTCTGGATGAGCAATACTACGGTTTCTTAATGTTCTACCACAAAAATTTTCATCCAAACCATTTAAACCCACTGTAGATCTTGTAACACGAGTAGATCGAGAAGCAGCCATACTATGGCAAGTCCCTAAAGTATGCTCATCATGATCCACTCATTGGGAAACCTTCAAAAAGATGTAAACAAAACAGTCAAAATATTTAACACACACCTACAGACATAGCAAATCTGAAGAATATATTGTCATGAATGTACCTAATGTAAAACTGAATATGCCTATGCAATGTATTAATACCAGTTCTTTCTGTGCCAATAAATTAAAAAAGTTTTCCATCTAAGCTGCAAAGTAGCTGACTTGGTATTTGCAGTTGTTCTCGCTTTAGTACTCGTGCGTGAATGTTGTTTGTATTTATGCCTTATGTAAGGCTGGAATGTTCCAGATAGGCTCCACTTACTAAACCACAATATTTTTATGTATTGTACATATGATATAATGCATTGGTATTATTATTTAAGTTTGTCTGGTCAAGTGAGAGGTGTCAAATCACATTCTTAATATCCCACAGTTTCACATACTAAGAAGGAAACCATTAAAATCGTATTTGCTTGGTCACTTGTTGCTTAAAACGAAATCACTTTCAAATAACAAAACAGAATTGCAATTCTAATTTGACAGGGGATTAAAAAAAATAAAAATCACACCAGTAAAAAATAGTTACAGTCATTAATAGCAAAAATGAACTAAAACAAAATGCCTGAATCAGAATCATAAAATCATTCAAGTTGGAAAGGACTTTGGGAGGCAATCTAGTTCAACCTCCTGCTCAAATAAACATCAAAATTAAACTCAAGTTTAGTTACACAGGATGTTGTCCAGCTGGGTCTTGAAAACCTCCAAGTACAGATATTCCACAACTTCTCAGGGCAACCTGTGCCAGTGTTTAATTGTCCTTATAATGAAAATATTTTTTTCTTATACCAAGGTAGGGCCTCCTCTATTTTTGCATCATTTACATCTAAAAAAGCCTGGCTCTATCTTCTCAGTAATCTCCTCTGAGGTACTAGAAGGGTGTTTCCCAAGTCTTCTCTATTTTTAAACTTTTCATACAGTTGGTGAGATGAATCATCACCTACATAAGATTTAAGTAAATTCAGACTTCACGCTAAGTTTAAAACACCCAGTTTGAGAGTGTCTGTATTTCAGATTTCAGGGTGAAATGTCAGAGTACTCAACTTGCCCAATCTCAGAATAACATTTTTAATAGAAATCAGTTCAGTGTTATCCTTCTATTCATCTTTTAAAAGTCAATGTCTTAAACCACATAGCACCACAAACGTGTCATAATATCCATGATAATGAACAGACACATTTGTGAACACATTAAGTGAAGACTTAAAATTTTAAATATGGACTCAAACCTTCTACATGTTATTCAGAAAGGCTGAAAATGACAAATAGAGAAAAATTGTTTTAATATGTTTTTTTCATCTTCAGCAAAAGAGAGAAAAAAAGAGCATAAATTCTTGCAAATCTACTATTTAGGTGTCAGACAGTCCTACAGCAGAAAACAGAGAACAGGACAAGACCAGCATACCTCTTAAGCAATACAATTCTGTTTGACAATTAACACTAATTACCATATTGTCTGTTTAGGTATTCATAATGCAAGTAGTATTTCTTAATGAAAGTAATGTATACTAAAACTATTGTCTGGTATAGCTCTAAATACTACTGTATAAGACAGCACATCATTTTGTGTAATGAAGAAAAGGCAATTACAAAATGTAAGTTTCAAATGTTCTCAAAACTGTGTTGATTTGTGCTGCTACAAGCCTCCTGCCTGTTAGCTATTCCCACTGCCTTACATGAATGCCTGGAAAGGTGCACTGTTCGAATTCCTGGAGATATAGGTAAAAACCTGCTATTGTACTAACTTTGATTCTGTCCATTTAAAAGTAATGATGCAGGACCAAGTTTGAGATGTCCAATAAACTCTGCCTTCAGAGAAAATATAAATAATACAAGAAACAGCAAATGGGCAAAACATCAGTAGTTGAGTTGAAGAGAGAAAAAACCCAGGTAACTACATGATGTCTATAATGGTTGTTTATACCTATTTTCCACATGGGTAAACTTGCCTGTATATTCTTCCCTTTTACACACAAACTCAATACCTTCTGAAGAGTGATCTCATTTGGGGTTGAACCCAAACATGAAAAACAGGGTCATTCAGACCATTTAAGTCATTAGATATTCCATTTCACCTAGGCTGTTCTAATTAAGGCTAGCACACGTTAAGGATGAGTAACTGACAATTCAAATGGATACTAATAAATTAAACCAAATTCCAATGCACGCTTTGGTAAGTAACTACTGCTGAACTTGACAGATATTAGAAATAGTATGTAAGACAGAAATGTTTACTGATTTGCTGGTATGTTACTTTCTAATGATACACACCTTACATAACAAGTTAAAAAGTTATTATTTACTTAGCACAAAATGTAAAAAACTTACCATTGCAAAACTAGAAGAAATACAAACTTCTGACATTTCATAGAGCAGACTCACACTGCGCCACTCAAATAATAGCAATCACCATTGCTGATATCAATGATGTAATCCAAATGCCTTTTTACTAGTTTATGCCATCACATTAACAAGATTTTGAAAACTGTTGAGAAAAAGACAAAGGCGTCAATAAAACATTTAAATTATTTCATTAAAAATTAAGAAGAATGCAACAGGACATATAAAGAGTAACAGCTTTTGTTATGAAGCAATTATCATTTTTACAAATGTCCTACAAAAAGAACAGTATGGTATAAAGTAATTAAGAATGTGAAATGCTAATTTAGGTTTCAAATGTAAAATAACTTTCTTGGTTGTTTTTAAGTGATTCACTGTATCGCACTAAAGATGTGCAAGCAAATGAATTCACAACAGAGTCTCATGTTAGGGTGTTCAAACCTCAGAAAATATTTGGAGACACAAGAAAACAAGCAGCGAAAGATATTACTACAACTAATGAATTATAAAATGCATTGTCAAATATATTTTATAATTAGATACACAGTGAAAAACAATTATTTCTATTTAAGTTTAATCAACTGAGCAGAGCTCAAAACTTACATTGGCTCCAACTCCCTGAATAACCTTCATCTACACAAGAGGAGTGAAATGCTTTCCAGAGTTCACATTAAACCTATTCTTCACCCAAGAAAAACAATGTATACTACCTTGTTCTGCTGGTTTTGGCTGGGGTAGAATTAAATAGTGAAAGACAGAAATATATCTACAGATCCAAAAGCCACACAATGTTTTCAGTTGTCTCCAGAGTTTGGGCATCAGTGCCAATGCCCAACAGCTACTACTTGAAAAAACATACCAGGAATCAGATTTAATTTAAGAATATCTAGTCCTATGGAGGTACCATAAATCACTATAGAATAGTGATTATTGAATCTTTCATCATATTCTGTTCACTTCATAAAAGTGAACTTATTTTCATATTGACAATTCAGAAACTTCATGATGTAAAACATAAGCTGATAGGTTTCTCCACATTTTTCTTTCTACACAGTTATTATATTTAGATTATATACATCCAAAGCCTTTGAAAATTGTCTTCTTTACTTTCAACCTACTTATGACTACTGGTAAGCGCAGAAAATGAATTATCCGTTGACTTGACAATTCAAAAGATAAACGAAGCCAACTAAGAGATTAATTATGCCTACTTACAGTGAAATTCAATAATGAAAGATATTTCTACAATGATGTTACATAAAGTACCGTAAATTCTATTACCTGGATAACTAAATCAAATTAGATTTCAATTATTCAGTAGAATTTCTTAATTTAACAAACAGCAGAGAACTGCCATAATAAAAGACAAAGAAAAAACAAAAAACAAGGCAGCAAGGAAAAACACTTGAAAATGCAAGAGGTAAATGACTGAAAGGAATGAGCAAAAAGGAACTGTTGCTGCTTAGCCATACCAGGAATAAAAGCAGAAACAGTGAGAGATTAACTCCATAAGGAGCTCCAATACCAAGTCACTTCAATCTGTGTCCTCCTGTCCCCGTCCCCCCCCCCAGTAGTTTCTTCTGGGTTTAATATTGTGGTACACTCTCAGTTACTTAAACCTATATTGTTGCCTTTCCTATAGATCCCTCTGACAGGAAAGACATGTATGTAGATACCAAAAGTAAAGAGAGATTTTTGACAGATTATTGCAAAAACCAAACAACATACCCCAACATAAATCCCATAGCTCATTAACTTTGGCAAAATAAAAAAAAGAAAAAAAGCTGGAAACAAATTATAACAGTGAGTCTATCAGAAGGAGGCCTAATCTCAAAATTTTTTATTATTTTACCACTCCACAACTAAAACCCATTCACTTAAGTTGTTTCAGAAATGGCTGAAAATAGTAATGTTTGTCTTTCCTCAGATTTGTACACTTTCATCTCCCCTAATTTTCTTTCCCCCAAACAACCCTATTTTACTTACAGCAGGAAAAACATAACCCCTGCTGTGCCTAAGTTGCCTTTGGGGAGAGCAAGACCATTTTAGAAACAGCAAAAAGCATGTGTAAATATCACAAGAGGAGAAACCAAGGTGGAGAAAAAAATGTTTTACCTAATCAGGATTTTTTGTTTAGTAGCAGTTGGGGGGTGGGGAGAAATAATTAGAAAGCTTTAATCAGGATACACTGAAATGACTTAATTACTGCTTAAAAACTAGAAAACAACATTCAGAAGAGCTTACTAAGTGAACAATTAAGTAACTTCTCCCAGAAGTTTCGTTGGAAAAATTGTCTTGAAAAGAAACTATTATTTCTTTACATTTTATAACCAATTAAAATTACTTTTTTGACCTAGAACAACCACATCTTCCATGGTAGAGAAATTTAATGGAAGAGTAATTTAATGTTTTGGACACCACTCATTTTAGAATATATTTATGAGTTGGAATAAGGAGTGCAGGGGAAACTGAATATGCTTTTAGGTCTAAGCCATTCTTCAGGGAACCACATCAACGTTTAAGAAAGACAATATTGCAATAAAGACTCAAAGTCTACAGAGAAAGAATCAGCTAAGAAACAACAT